CTTTGAAATTCCTAGACGTGAAACCTCAAATGTTACGCTGAACACAACCTAGCCATCTGAGTGCTGTCTCAAAGAGTTGCAATGACCTCTAGAAAGTTAACTCAAAGTACACAATGAAATAAAGAGTTCTGAGTAGGACTAGCAGGAACTAGCAGGGGCATATTTGGGTCATCTATTTTCCAGAAAGTAAGATTCAAATAGAGAGGAAATGTTTAACAAAATGTATGCATTCTACTCATAGCCATCCACTCCTATATTTGTTTGTAGATATTTCAAAGCAAATCAGCACATTTGTTTCTAACTTGAGAAATTCCATCTGGACCAGTCATATCAAAATCTTCAGCTATCTAAAGGGTTCTTTAATCCATACTCATAATGATTGATATCCCAGGTCTTCAGTGGAAGTAACAGTCTCCCCTGTTTGAGGTAAATGATCTCTTGCAGGCACACCATTTGGATACCTGGACGAGGTAATTTATCTCAAGTGGGCAACTACTTTAACGAAAGTAAGAAGGCTGCCACCTGTCCAGTATTTCCAGAGGTACAATGGAAACTGGGGTCTTTTGCCCATGCCTATAAATGCATCAATAAAGTTTAAAAAGGTAACAGTGGCAACTACCTTTAGCCCTTTTTGAGCAGTAGTTTCAAGGTAACATTATTGAACTTCCATTTCATGAAGAGTTAAAAAATAATAGGCTAATTCCACAGACATCAGTGAACAAGAAAGAAATAAAAACAACATTTACGGACATTTATTTATACACACGCACACATAAGACTTGGTTAAGCAAGTTACATTTATTCTTCATAATAACCTTATGAGCCAGAAACTTTTATTAGTCAAATTTTACAGATGAGGATATTAAGGCTGAAGAGGGATTAAGTGATCTGCCATGCCCAAAATCATACAATTAGTAAACAATAGAGCCCAGAAGCAAATCCAGAGTCCAAGTTCTTAATCTATACTCTGCTACACATCCAACATATTTAAGAGTAAATTATCTCTCTCAGTTTACAGTGTGTGTGTGTATATATATATATATGTATATGTATATGTGTATATATATATATAAGTAGATATGGACCTTTTTTAAAAAAGAGCAATATATTGTGTATTTTTCACCTTAGAATAAAGATAACTTAAGAAGCAATTCAGTTACTGTTCAATATATTAAAAGCTACCAATTGGCATTGGCATACATACATCATAGTTTTCCTGAGGTAAAAAAGCAAATATGATAATGATGCAATAGATATGAAGTCCTCACATCTAAAATGATTTAAATTTCAACAAGTTCTTTAAAAAGTATAAAAGAATGAAAAACTTTATTGAAAGGATCTTCTCTCACTTCAGAATTTTCAGATTACTTCCTACATAGACTTGCCCAAGAACTTGCCACATCAGCTTCCCACTGACTAAATGAATTAAATTACCGCCCATATTCTAGATGATTAAAAAATAAATGACTCAACTTACGTAAGAATGGATATTTCTTCTTCCTGTTCTATGATGAAAGCAAACTATAGTGAGATAGTTAAATATATTATGAAATATCTAAATAGTGGAATATTACCCAGACATTAAAAATCATTCTATAAAAGAATACTAATAGACATATGACAAATCCTCAAAAGCCAACACTTTTTTTTAAATAAAGCTATCGTAAGATTCCATAAGCAAAGCACAACATCATTTTTGTGATTCTCTTCTCAAAGATGCCTAAACTAAATTTAATCATGAGGAAACATCAGATAAACAAAAATTGAGAGATATTCTATAAATAACTGCTCTGTAATTTTAAAGAGTGCCAAGATCATGATAGGCAAGAAAAGACTGTGGAACCATTCCACACTGAAAAAGACCAAAGCAACATGACTAAGTGCAACACAGAACTCTGGAGTGGCTCAGTCTGCTGTTGAGGACAAAGTTGAGATAACTAAGTGGAAACAGAATGAGGTCTGAAGATAAGATGGAAGTAATGTATTAATGTTGATTTCCTGATGGTGATGGTTGTACTATGGTTATATAGGAGGAAGTCCTTGTACAAAATTAAACTAAAATATGATGGGGTGATGGGGCATCATATGAGAAACTTGTTCTCTAGTGCTTCAGCCAAAAAGAGAACTCTATTCTGTACCTTCAACTTTTCTGTATGTTTTAAGTTATTTCAAAACAATTTTTTAAATGGATATTAAACAGCATGTACCCAATGATATCACTGGTTACTCTGTCAGTGGATGGATGGATGATGCATAGATTAACAGATTAAATAGATGAAAGAATATATACAGATTTTTTTTTTGTATTTGTTATTGGTGTTCTTTTCTGACTTGTTTTTAAATAATCTGAATTCATCGATATTCTTTTATAATGGTGATAAAAAGATATGGGAGCAAAAAAATGGTATTTGTTTTAAATAAAAATGAATCTTCTCAATTACAGATGTTGTTGATTACCTAACTCAAAGCATCCACCCATCCTTGTCTCTTGCCAACATCTAGCTATCAAGCTAGGGATAACTATGTGTCCCAGTTCAAGTCAAGGAAACAAGCATAAGCCTACTAGGTAGGCTTGGGGAAAAGCTTTTTCCTTCCTAATGTAAAGGGATAGATTCAGCAGCCACATGCCTTCACATTTTTTAATAGCTTTTTTGAGAACTAACTCACATACCATATATTCACCCACTTAAAGTATACAAATCAGTGATTTTTAGGCTACTCATAGAGTTGTGCAACCTTCAATACCAGTCACTTTTCATCACCCCCAAAATAAGCCCTTTACCAGTCATTTCTTATCACCTGCAAACCCCTCTCGAGCTTTGTTGTTGTTAGGTGCTGTCAGGTCAGTTCAGACTCAGCAACGCTAAGTACAACAGAACAAAACACTGCCCAGTTGCATGCCATCCTCAATATTCTTGCTATACCTGAGCCCATCACTGTAGCCACTGTGTCAATCTATCTCGTTGGGGGTCTTCCCTTTTTACACTGATCATCCATTTTTCTAAGCATGATATCCTTCTCCAGGGAACGGTCCCTTCTGACAACATGACCAAAGTAGGAGAGACGAAGTCTGGCCATTCTCACTTCCAAGGAGCACTCCAGTTGCACTTCTTCCAGGATAAATTTGTTTATTCTTCTGGCAGCTCATGATACTTTAAGTATTCTTTGCCAACACCACAACTCAAAAGCATCAACTCATCACTGGTTTTCCTTATTCACTGTCCAGCTTTCACGAGTATATGAGGCAACTGAAAATATCATGGCTTGTTTTAGGTACACCCTAGTCTTCAAAGAGACATCTTTGCTCTTCAGCACTTTAAAGAGGTCTTTTGCAGCCAACTTGCCCAGGGCAATATGACATCTGATTTCCTGACTGCTGCTTCCATTGGTGTTGATTGTGGAACCAAGTAATATGAAATCTTTGACAACTTCAATCTTTTCTCCATTTATCGTGATGCTGTTTATTGGTCCAGTTGTCAGGAGTTTTGTTTTCTTTATGGTGAGATGGAATCTATACTGCAGATTGTAGTCTTTAATATTCATCAGTAAGTGTTTCAAGTCATCTTCACTTTCAGCAAACAAGGCTGTGTCATCTGCATATCCCAGATTGTCAATGAGTCTTCCTCCTATCCTGATGCCATGTTCTTCTTCATATAGTCCAGTTTCTCAGATTATTTGCTCGCATGCAGATTGAATAAGTATGGGGAAAGGGTAGAATCCTGATGCACACCCTTCTTGATTTTAAACCATGCAGTATCCCCTTGTTCTATTCAAACAGCCTCCTGGTGTACATACAGGTTATTCATGAGCACAATTAAGTGTTCCGGAATTCCCATTCTTCTCAATGTTATCTCAAGCCTTAGGTAACCATCAATACACTTTGGTCACTATAGATGTGCCTAATCTAGACATTTATTGTAAGTAGAAATATATAGTATGTGATCTTTTATGATTGGCTTTTCTCACTTAGCATACGGTCTAACACTAAAATTCTTAAAGTACATTTAACTTAGACTTTCTTTTTAGACTCCCAACCCAGTTTGTTGAGGTTTTACCAATACATTAAATACATATATTTTTTACCAACATCAGTGGTTGGGCTACAACCTAAAAATAATCTTTAAGTCGTCAGTTTCCTACAATAAGAGCCTAGACATAGATACTACCATACTATTTGAAAGCATAATAAATTATCTATATTTGTGTAGCAGAGTTCTCTAAAGAATTAAATTATCATTTCATTAATGCTTGCAACATTTCATAAAGGAAAACAGTATTAACAAATCCATTATACTATTAATATGTTTAGAATGATGATAATTAATCCAGTGACATAGTATGACCAGTAGGTAACTATATCAACATTTCTTCCAGTGTAGAGAAACCAGTTTTCACTGAACCTTTCACACACATCATACAATGTAAGATGAGTCATTGGAAAAAAAACACTTAAATCTCAGACTTTTGGAAATCTCTGATTATAGAAGGCTGCACACCTGGTGGAAAAGAGCAGACTACTCAAATTAATTCTATCTAAAAGAAATGAGAATAAATGAAAAAGCATCAAGTGATGAAAAAAATAATTTCTGCTGGCTCAGTTATTACTCAAACCTCTGAAATTTAAAGCCAGACATAGAAATGAAGGAAGGCCAAAACATTTGGAAGAACACTGCCAATATTATTTAATTAAAAAATAATAATAACAATGAACTTTCCATAAAGAAACCCAGATCATGCGTGAGAAAATAATAAGGTGGATATATTCACCACAAAATGTCATTTTATTTCACCATAAATAAAGCGAAAATTACCATCAAAATGTACATTAATGCACTACATCATTAGATATACATTTAACAATCTCTCTGTACCTGAATAAAAGAAAGATGAGAACAAATACATTTTCCTTCTAGGTGGTTTATTAGAATTTGTACTGTAAGGCATTTCTAGACATTTGCTTTTATGTGTATTTTGCAAGGATAATAAAGAAAGAGTTGTACCTGTTTTACTAAGAATTTCCTGTAATTCAACCATAGAACTGATTATTGCAGCAAGAAGGTCAGAACTAGTAAGCCAACTGAGCGCTTGTAAACAACGTAACTGCTCCTTTTGATGTTCTGCAAAAAGAGAAAAAACCATTATGAAGTGCTACAAAATTTTATTAACATCAATATTTAAAATTAATAGCAGTGTTCACCTGTTTAAGAAACAGATCAAAACTAGTACACAGAATTCTTGTCTAGTGTAGAAAAGTCTCTAAGAAACGTTAGATTTGATTGGCCTACTCTGACAACAAAAACAAAAAAGAGAAAGAAACTCTCTTGAGTTCTAACTTATATTAATAGGCTACTTGTTAAAAGTTAAAACTTCAATTCATTGTTTCTTCAGAATAGTCAAGTATTCAAAAAAAATGTTAACAGGAAAATTTACATTTGCCTCATTTTCATCCAACTCTTCAATAGATTTTTAACTCATCATTTTATATTGATTCATAGAAAGTGAAAATAAATCATACTGATACTAAATTTTAAATAGGGGAACATGTCTGGATTAACTTAATTGAAAAATCACGGTAGAAACCTGATACCTCACTATATTGTGAAAAGATGATTCAAATAAAATAAAGCTGAAGTTCAAATTTTTTAATATATATAGAGAGAGAGAGAGAGAGACACACATGTTTATATATCTATAATATTTCATATTCAATTTGTGTGTGTATATATATATAGACACACACACGATACTTTCTTTATATTTTAATCAGCTATAATTAAAAATCAAGGCCTAATTTATATATAAATACACATTTATACATATATATTTATATATATATATATAAAAGAGACTATGTTACATGACTTAACATGTTATAAGATTTTTTCAAAGCTTTTGCATAATAGCCAGTTATATTCACATTGTGCAACTTAGACAAAATAAAGTACAAATTATCTTACTTGGAAATTTATGCTTGTCTTTCGGTTCTCCTGTACACACTAAAATGCCTATGCCTTCTTTGAAATTCTCCATCCAGGTAAAAAGAGAGGCACATGACTGGCCCAAAATCTTGAGTCTGTTTGCTGCCAAAATTGCAATAACACCTTTCCGGAACACACGTATCAATCCTTTGAAAGGTTTTTTCTTCATCTTGGCTTCCTCTTGTTTCTTCTCTTCTACAGTTGACAAAGCTTGGGCTATAGTTCTAATTTCTAATTTGAACAACTCAAAGGTGTTGACTTGGTCCAGGAGAAAATCTCTCTGTGTAGATAAGGCACATGATCGGCTATAGAGTGGATACAAGGCACCAGCCATTAGTGCACAGGCTGCCAGCAAGGATGTTTGTTCCCTGTGAGTCTGTGATAACACATTTTTGAAGTGTGAATTTTCAAGAACCAACTGTTCATGTGACTTTTCAATAAAGTTCGATTTTTCCATATTTTTTTCAGCAATTTCTTGAAATTTCTATAAGAAAAGAAGTCAAATAATATGACATTTGATCATGAAACAAACAGACATTTGATTAATTCTTCTCCATGCAAGAAAAAAAAAAAAAAAATCTGCTGACAGTACTTCTTTCCCTTCAAAAGATCCATGTATTAAAATATCTAAAACATACAACATTAGACCAAACAGCTTAGATCTGAATGTGGGCACTTATTTAAAATCCTCTTACATAGAAGCTTTACATAAAGTAGAACACATAAATTTAAAAGTACTTCATAAATTTCCTTTACATCCATGCATAAATACACAAATTTAGAAAAAGAAAACATGCTTTCTCTGCAGAATGCCTTCTCTTCCATTCCTCACTAACTTTTACTTTCTGCTTTTAAACAAAACTACACAGCCAAAGAGACTTTCTTATACATAAAAAGACTTCACTTTCTGCCAAAATAAGCAGAGTTAAATCAATGATACAACAAATAGCACTTGACTGTCTGCCATTTATTAGGCAAGATGAGACTGCCTCGCAGATCATATCCCCTTTCTTACCCCTGCTCAAATGCAGCTCCAGGAAATGCTCATTGAGAGCTAGGCCTCAGAAAATATCTGCTCTTTCTTTCTTACCAAGGTGCATACAGTTCAAAACTAAATTTAAAATGAAAAAAAAAATTTAACTGCAAGCACACTTTAATTAGAAAATTATGTGGCTATCTATGAAATCATATGCCTAATAATTAAGGAATTGCTAAGGTAATGAGTTTTTATGACACTAAAAGCACAAGCAACAAAAGAAAATGCAGATAAATTGGACTCATCAAAATACAAAACTTTTGGCGTCAATGTTATTTAACAAATAAGTGAAAAGACAGCCTACACAATGAACAAAAATACTGAGAACCATATATCTGATAAGGCTTTAATATCCAGAATACATAAAGAGCTCCTACACCTCGATATCAAAAAAATAAACTACCCATAAACTAAAATATGGCTGGGGGATGGGGGGTGGAAATATGGCCGGGGATTGGGGGGTGGAAATATGGCCAAATGACTTGAAGAGACATTTCACCAAAGAAGATATGAAAATGGCCAATAAGCAAGTGGTTACTAGAGGCTAGGGGGAGAGAAGAATAGGAAGTTATTGCTCAAAAGAATACTGAATTTCTGTTTGGAGTGATAAAAAATATTTGGAATTAGATAACAATGATGATTAGTTGTACAACATGGTGAATGTAATTAACGTCAATGAATTGCATGATTAAAATATCAAATTTTTTGTCATACATATTTTATATTAACAAACTTTTTTAAAAAAAATAATGTAACAGATCACAATTCCCTTTATTACTGATTCAGTTATTATTTGACAAACATGTATTGATCACTCACTAAATGTCAGGTGCTAGGTAAAAAAAAAGGTCAATTACACTGATATAATGCTATGATAGAGATAATGCCAAGTTGCCAAAGAAGTATGAAAGAGAATTCAAATCAAATGATGCTGACAGACTTTGGGGGGGCATACAACAATTAAAAGACAAGTGCAGATGAAGTATGTAATAGAAAGAATTAAAAAAATAAGCCCACTTCACTGGTGAAGAGGACAGTCAATAACTATCCTATAATAATTTAATCTAGCCCTTACAACCAACAGTGATTTAACGGCTTCAGACGGATCTTTACTTCTCAAGTGAGCTGTCATGACTGACCGTGGACTTGTGTATTTTTAAAAGTAAGTCAAGAGTGTTCAATTTTACAGGGGGGTCAGTGTTCAATTTAATAGTGGGATTCAAAGAAATATTATGCTCTGTATCTGTATATTTACATGAAGCACTGTCTTCATTATGACAGAGTCTTCTGTGGGGCATTTAAGAAAACATTTCTCTTATTATTATTGGCTTAGATTGTACTCTGTCTAGAATTTAGTGTTTATCTTTGAGAGAGGTATATGTGTGAGTATGTATCTAATTCAAGAGATACTTACTGAAAAATCAGAAGAATCAAAATGCATTTAGAAAATTCATTTGGGCAGGAAGACCACAAAGAACACCAGACTTGAAGCAAATTATACAAACTCTTGACTACTCTGCAAGACTTGGGTGCCAAAATCTACCAGAAACAATGCTGGTAGGAAGTAACCAAAAGAATTCAAACTTGTGTGAATGCACTGCTGAGGAAAAGAGATCCTGGGCTAAAACCAACCCGGAGGGTAAGGGGCAAGGTTCCCCAAAGGTAGACAGTAGAAGAAGGCCCTCAGAAGCTTATATCTGAGGATAGAAGAGTAAGGGAAGCAGACAAGAGGCTGTTTTCCGAAGGATCAACTTCTCACATGCTTTCCATTGGGCAAGGAAAATACTGTATTATAGACATGGTTTTAAATGTATCCACCTGATACTTTAATTCCCTCTATTTACTCTAACAAAGAGTTTAGATGGTGCTGTGGTTAAAGCATTGGGCTGCTAATCAACAGGTCAGTAGTTCAAATCTACCAGCCACTCCACAGGAGAAAGATGGGACAGTCTGCTTCTGTAAAGATTTACAGCCTTGAAAACACTATGTAGCAGCTCTACTCTGTCCCACAGGGTCACTATGAGTTGGAATAAACTCAATAGCAGTGGGTTTGGTTTTGGTTTATTTACTCTACCTCCTCCTTAAATCTGATTCAGCCATACCTGTGGTAGTACTATGAGAAATAAAGGAATAAGGAAATAAAGAATAGTGGCTTGCCCCAATCACATGTACACTGATGACCAAACTGTGGCAGCAGTATTCTATCAATGAGACTATGTCTAAGAGTTCCAAAACAAGACCACTAGAGTAAAGTAAGTGATGTCCCACTGGAAGCAGTTAAAAGGAACAGGAAATTCTGAGAAGAAACAGCCAGGTGGATTGCTTGACAGCAGATAAGACACACAACCCTCTTGAGGGAAAACCTGCTGCCTTTGAGTCAGGTCTGACTCATAGCAATCCTTCCTTGAGTTTCCAAGGAGCTCTGGTAGCATAGTGCCTAAGGCACTTGACTGCTAACCAGAAGGCTGGCGGTTCAAACCCACCAGCCACTCCTCGGAAGGAAGGTTGGGCATTCCTACTTCCACAGTGATACTGCCTCAGAAACCCAAGGAGGGGTCTCTATGAGTCGGGGCCGACTCGATGGCAAATAACAACAACAACAACATCACTACAGAAGTAGATTGCCCAACATTCCTCCTGGGGAGTGGCTGGTGGGTTTAAACCACCAGCCTTTTGATTAGCAGTGAGATGCCTTAGGCACTATGCCACCAGAGCTGGCAACCTTTAAGAAAAGGTGCAACTGTCACTCGGGCTATAGCCAGATAAAGCAGGAAAACTAGTGTAGTATCTTGGTGAGTAGCGATTGGGGTCTTAAAATCTTGCAAGCAGCTGTCTAGATGCAACAATGGGTTTGTCCTTGTCCAGAGCAAAGAAGAATGAAAACCAAACACACATGAAAACAATTAGTCCAAGGAACTAGTAGACCATGCTATCCTCAGCCTATATGACCATGAGACCAGAAGAACTAGATGGTTCTACTACTGTCAACAACTTGGAAAGGGAGATCCTGGTGCAGGAGATCCTGGATAGAGTGGGAGAAAATGTGGAAAACTCAAAATCATAAAAAAGACCAGGTTTATTGGTCTGATAGAGCGTGGTAAGACCTCAAGACTATAGTTCCTCGTTACCCTTCAGGTCTGGAATTGAATTCACTCTTGTGATTTCCAGCCAAACAACAGACATATGGGGTGAACATTTACATCAGGTACATACACTCCTTGGAGTGATCAATCATGGGAGAACAGAAGGTCAGTGTTTGCACAGGGAGATAGTGGGGGGGGGGGCAAGGAGTGTATGAGAGGAAAGGACACAGGAAGAGGGAATTATGGGGAGGAAATAGGAAGGGCACTGTTACACTGTGGAGAATTGGAGTCAATGTCATGAAACAAAATGTGTATGAAATGCTGTATAGAAAATGAATAAGCTCTGTAAACTTTCACCCAAATCACAACAAAAATTTTTAAAAAAAGCATGTAGAAAAGAACCAGAAAACAGGATAAGGTGTTCCAAATAAGCACAAATAATTCAGAAACATTAAAGAAAAGACTGATGAAAATTTGAGCAGTAGGTAGATAACATGATGGAGAGCCTTATGTGCTAAACTAAGGAATTTTAACTTTATCCAGAAAGTTATGGGAAGCTATAAAATCCTGGAACAGTCATCATTCTCTAGTAAATGGATGTGAGAATCTGAAACATTAATCAAGACTGCCAGAGATGCAGTAAAGTTGCAGGGGTCAGAAGTAAAATGAAGGTGGTTGTTGGTAGTTGTTGTCAAGTCAGTTTCAACTCATAGCAAGCCCTGCGAACAAAGCATTGCCCAGTCCTGCACCATCTTCACAACTGTTGCAGGGTTTGAGCCCACTGTTAAAGCCACTGTAGCGAGCCATCTCATTGAGGATCTTCCTCTTTTTCACTGGCCCTCTACTTTACCAACACAATGTCTTTCTCCAGGGATTGCTCCCTCCTGGTAGCGTGTCTAAAGTATGTGAGACGAAGGGTCATCATACTCACTTCGAAGGAATATTCTGATTGTACTACTTCCAAAACAGATGTGTTCATTCTTCTGCAAGTCTATGGTATATTCGGTATTCTTCAGCATGTCATAATTCAAAGGCATCAATTCTTCTGACTCCCTTAGTGACTGTCCAGCTTTCACATGTGTGTGATGTGACTGAAAATACCATGGCTTGGATCAGGTGCGCTGTTGTCTTTAAATTGATATTTTTGCTCTTTAATACTTAAAGAGGTCTTTTGCAGCAAATTTTTCCCAATGCAAAACATCACTTAATTTCTTGACTGCTGCTTCCATGGGTGTTGATTATGGATACAAGTGAAATTAAAATCTTGAAAATTTCAGTATTTTCTCCATTTATTATGACGTAGCTTATTGATTTCTATTTTCCTTATTTTAAAATGTAATCCATACTTAAGGTTTTAGTCTTTGA